GAAACGAATGAACGAACGGATCGTAGAGGGATTGGTTGTCTCACTGGCGGAGCGGAACCCTTGCGCTTTTGAGGAGTTAGGAGTTATTGGTTGTTCTAATTTTGGCAATCTAGAACGTGTGGTCAAGCGTGAATACTGCATAGTTCGTTCTATTCTTGCCTTCTTTTCTACGTTCTTCATATTACTTTCATGGTACAGTCATGCGATAATCAGCTTAACATGCAGAAGTTATGCTGAGAAGTAGTCAGCAGCATGCTGCTGAGTGTAAATCGGGGAGATGTGGTCAGCGTACTGGTGCTGCTGCTGCTACGTGGGATTCAAGTCATGGTCAGTAACTGCTGCTGCTGCTGCTAGTACTGGTAGTTCCAGGCATAGCCGGCGTCTCCCAGGCGCTGGTTAGTTGGAACTCGGCTGTCGTCCTGTTGTTGTTGGTGCTCACGGCAGTGGTCTGTGTGCTGCTAGTAATGGTCATTCGGGAAATGGTCAACATGTAACTACTGGTAATCGTGCAGCGCGACTAATGTTGTTGCCAGCGATGCTGCAAAATATAATTGGCATATCGTGACAGATGATATTGCTGCTTACAGACAGCTTATATATATATATGTTCACGAACAGACATTCCAAGTATCCCATTCGCTGCATTGCTCTCTCCGTCACAGCCAGCATTCACTCATTTACTTCTTCCAGTATCCAAGAGCTTCTAACGCAGTGTTATTGAAGAAGTGGATAACGGTCTTTTTTGCTTCAAACACTTCGAGGAGGTCAACGTTGCTGTGGATTTTCTGCCTGTCGGCTCTTACTTAGGCGCAGTATTCAGTCGAAAATTGTAGCATACACTTATTTCCTGAGTAGCTGTCAATTTCTTCCAAGTCTACACCGTCTACCTGCAATCTTACCGTTGACATAGCGGCACTTTGCATCACTTTCGTTTTCGATACGTTAATTTTCAGACGCACTTCGTCATTTCTTACGTTGAGCTCCCGTAGCATCTCGTATGGTTTCTTCGCTGAAAACGTAGTTCTTGGAGCAGTGCACAGGCACGGATTTTATGTTTTATCTTGATCAAAATATACAAATTTCAAGCACTTATGCAAATGTCATTTTAATCAGAATTCGTCGATGGTACACTCGTGCGTAATTGAACTATTTAAGGATATTTTTTCATGAAAATCGGTCAGTTCTTGGAAACTCATTCATGGTTATTGCTTGTTTAGCAACAGCGCTGAAACGTATTTTGGTATGGATGGCTGGTTAGCTGCAACAGATTTGTTAGCTTTGTGTTCGAGGGTGATATCTTCTTCGACAGAGGGGGGGGG